GCTTGCCTGGCAAGTGCAAGGCTCTGAGTTCAATCCCTGGTTCCGCCAAAAAAAAAAAAAGAGAGATGAAAATTAAAACAACTTGAGATGCCAACTTATTTTCAAAGAAACAAAATACAGATATATAGAAAAAGCATTAGAAATGATACAAGATATCACTAAACAAAATAATACAAATTCAACAATGGTTGCTATGTTACATGATGCTGTCTTCAAATTAGTTGTTTACATTACCAGATATAAACATGTAAGATTCATTTAAGAAAAAAAGAAGTTATAAGAAATTCAAAAGAGGAAAAAAAGATTAGAGGAAAAACTTAAGCATTAACTCCTCTTTTGAAAAGACCAGCAGAAATTGACAATACAGTTACCCAAACTATTCTGCATATATACACAAATATGTATTTTTTCCTTCTTACATTAGTCCTTTTCCTCATTCCAGTTTTTCCTTCCCATTGAGCAATTGCTTTTCCGTTCACAGTATCTGTTGTATCTTTTATTTTTTTTATTTTTTATTTTTTTAATTTTTATTTATTTATTTATTTGTGTGTGTGTGTATGTGTGTGCGTGTGGCCAGCTCAGCCCACCAGGGGGCGGGGCTGGCTGGCATGTGGTGCTGGGGGATTGAACCGCGGTCCCTGTGCTTTGCTAAGCTTGTTCTGAGTAGGTGCTTTAGACCACTGAGCCATCTCACCAGCCCATCTGTTGTATCTTTTAGATTTTCATTACTCTTTCAAGTTCTCACACTAATGAGATAATACAATATTTGCACACGTGGGTCTGATTTATTTCACTTACTAATATAGTCTCCAATTGCATCCATTTATGTACAAAAGCCTTGAATTTATCTTTTTTTAAATAACTGAATAATATTGCATTGTGTAAAAATACTCTATCTTCTTGTCTATTCCTCCGTCGATGGGCATGTAGATTGTTTCCAGGATTTAGCTATACCATATTGTGCTCAGTGCACATTTATTTCTGTGGTGTGATGATTTCAGTTCTTTGGGAAAAATACCTAGAATAGCTGGATTGAATGGGACCTCCAATCCTAGCTTTTTGAGGAATCTTAATACTGATTTCCATAATGGTTGTACCAGCCTGCACTCAACCAACAGTGGAAAAAGGTTCCTTTTCTCCCACAGCCTCTCCAGCATTTGTTACTGGTTAATTTCTTGATGACATCCATTCTTTCTGGCATAAGATGGTATCTCAGTGTTGTTTTAATTTGCATCTCTCGAATGACCAATGATGTTGAACATTTTTTCATATATTTATTTGCCATTTATATCTCTTCCTTTTTCTTTTTTTAATTTTTTTTTTTTTTTTCGGAACTGGGGCTTGAACTCAGGCCCTTGCTCTTGCCAGGGAAGTGTTTATTCCACTGAGCCATCTCCCTGGCCCTTTTTAAAAAATTTGTATTTGGTACAGCATTTTACTACACAGATCATACTTGTGATCTTCCTGTTTTCAGCCTCCTTAGCCCTGGGATTACAGGCGTGCGCCACCACGCCCAGAGTTGGTTGCTGGCTCAGTGTGCCCTGGGGGCAGGGCCTGTAATCCTAGCACTGGGGAGGCTGGAAACAGGAGGATCACTATGAGTCTGAGCTGTGTAGTGAGACCATGTACCAAATATACAAAGGAAAAAAAAAAAAGCTCCAAGGTGAGACTTATTTATTTTTCTGTATTTTGTTGCAGTGGGGATTAAACTTGGGACCTTCACAATTAGCCACATCCCAAGTCCTATTTATTTACTTTGCATTTTAGAGACAGGGTTTTGGTAAGTTGCTGAGTTGCCCAAGCAGGGCTATTTTGGGTCTTCTGCCTCAGTGTCCCAGAGTGCTGGGATTGTGAGTGTGCACCACCATGCCTTTTTAGGTGGTACTACATGGTACTTGAAAAAGTACCATTTAGATTGAGAGCATTTCACAGACAGCTATATCTGTAGATTATGTTTCCATTTTTGATTTTGAGAATTGCTAGTTATAGAGTTTTAGCCTGCATGAGTTTTTTTTCATAAACATTATTATCTGTTTTACGCTTGTTTAGGAAGGTTCTTACCTCTGAAGACGATGCTGGGACCAAGATATGATAGTCAAGTTGCTGAAGAAAATCGGTTCCATCCCAGTATGCTCTCAAATTATTTAAAGAGTTTAAAGGTAAGAAGCACAACTTTTTTTCTTTTGCTACTGATTTCATTTTGTTCTTCAAATAGTTTTTTTTTTTTTTTTAAAGTAGATTTTAAAAAGGCTTTGGCCTCTTTAAAGGATATAGATCAGCGGCACAAGCACCCACCTGGCAAGTACAAGGTCCTGAGTTCAGTTCCTGGTACTAAAAAAAAAAAAAGCTAAAAGGACTTTATTTTGGGGCCGGGGAGATGGCTCAGTAGACTAAGCGCTTCCCTGGTGAGCGCAAGGGCAATCCCCAGTTCCGGGAAAAAAAAAAAAGGAAAAAAAAAGAAAAAGACTTTATTGAAGTAATTAATATTGTAAGTTGCAAAACTTGCACATATATTTCTAGGAATTCTTCCTCTAGTTTTTTTAGTGGTGGGAATTTAGATAATTATATGATAGTATCATATACAGAAAACTGACATTGATACAGTATTCTTTTTTTTTTTTTGTGGCAGAACCAGGGATTGAAGATACAGTATTCTTATATTGCAGAATTTAGACTTTAGATAAGTTTATCTGCACATGTTTGAATTTCTGGTGGTGGTTATAGAAATCCTTCGTAGAGAAACTCCCTCATGTTATCTGTTTATAAAAGAAAAATACCCATTTATTCTCTAAATCTTTGTGTCTAGCATTATCCAGTATCTGAAGAAATTTAGAGGTAACACCAGTTTTGGTGGACCTTGTCTCTAGTCTTAGCTACTTTGAGGGCTTAGGAAGCACAATTGCTTCAGCCCACGAGTTCAAGTGGACAACATATATTTTTTTTAAATTTTATTTATTTATTTTTGTGTGTGGCCAGCTCAGCCCACCTGGGGGCGGGGCCGGCTGGC